CATCTCTCTTTCCCTACCTCACAGATGGAGAGAAATGAATTTATAAACATATATTTTAAACGTGATTTCTGTTAGATCCTCGTGTACAGAAATGCAGTTAACGTTTCATTATACTGGTCTTAAATCTTGCCCATTTACTAACTGCTACTATCACTTCTCGACATTTGTAGATTCCTTGGGGTTTCCTATGTAAGCAACCTTGTAATCTGTGAATGACGGTTTGGTGTCTTTTATCTTTCCAGTCTCCGGATCTGTCACTTCGCTGTTTTGTTTCACTGCGCCGGCCAGCAGGGCTGAACAAGGGCTGGTACCGTGAACATTTTGGCCTTGAGAGCCCTTGAACTGGTGTGAAATGATAGCTTCTAACATTTCCTCCTTAAGAATAGTGGTTCTGTGGGTTCGGATACGTACTGTTTGTCTACGGCAAGAGGATTCCCTTCTATTCCTAGTTTGATGAAAGATTTTAATCATATTTTTAACTAAATTTTCCTTCTTTGTCATACATTCTCCTTCTTTTCTCGTAGAGGTTATAACCCTGGTATTTTCTCACGTGTACCTAGTTTACCAGAGTCTGAAGTTAGTTCTTAACTCCCCTGTGGGACAATGCAAAGTCCTAGGGCATTTTAACTCCAGGGTCCCCATGTCCACTTTCATTTCTCTAGTATTTTGCACCTTCCCCAAATTAGACGTGATAAGAAAAGTAGTATTTGATATAATTTTTATTTAGGTGTATTTCCATATTTATCCATTTGCTCCCTAACCCATCTGGTTCAGACCTTTGTAGAATCTTCTGAAGTGTGTCTTTTACCAGTTCCTCTAGGGAAGGGCTCTTGATTCTTTCAGTTTTTTTATATGAAAATATCTTTATCCCACTCTGTTTCTTGAAAGAGAGATTTCCTGTCTCCGTGTGTCGGTTGCATCCCAGCTGCCCTTCTCTCCCCCTTCGGGGACCGGGACCATCTCGTTCAGCCCCTTCCCTGAGCTGTCCCGGGTCCGCTCCAGGTGACGCCCTGCTTGGCCCCCTTCGGGGGGTGGGCCTGCGCTCCACGCCTGCTTTTCCACAGCCCCACGATGCACCCCCGTCCCGGGAGCTTTTAACAGCTGCAGGGAGAGTCACAGAGCTTTGAGAAGCTGATGGGGGCCGTGGACCCTCTTGCTGGAGAAACGTTACCCGCCGTGAGGCTGGACGCACTGATAGGAGAGTCCCTGACCTTCCTGCACGTGCTGTTGAGAACAGGTTCCACAGATTGAGGCCCAGCCCGCCAGCAGGTTGAATTCTAGAAGAGCAGCAATGCGGATTTCACCTAGAACACGATACTGTTGTTATCAGGGTACATAAAGATTTCATGAAAAGGTGGCACGGCCCTGTTTCTGTGGCAGTCGGTGTTGGAGCAGCTCCCCAGACCCGGGTGTGCTTGACAAAGACACAAGCATCCTGTCCCCACCTGCCCAGATCAGTGGGGTCAGGTGGGAGGGGCTCTCAGCCACAGTAGTGGGAGCTGTTTCTCTTCTGAGACGAAAGGGGAGGAGGAGATGGCGTCTGGAGATGATTGCAGTTGCTTCGAAGACTGAGGGAGCATCCTTGTCTCGGAGGCCAGGCCGAGGGCTCCCAGTGAGGCAGGGCCTTGAGAAGGGGCGGGGCCAACCCGGCAGCACGGAGCCTTGCAGAGGTCAGGGGCCATGAGGAGTGCTGGGGACACAGGCTAGAGGACCCAAGAGTGTGGAAGGTGGAGGTTTGTGCAGATGCGAGCAAGCCAAGTGTGGGTGACAGAGGTGATTGACTAACGCAGAGGTCAGCTGGGTGAGCAGTAGGTTATTCACATTATTAGTAACACTTGCTCGCCAGGGGATCATGATGCAGCTGGCTCAGCAACAAGTGATGGGAGACTGCCGATCACGTGAGACATGCTGGTGCCTAAAAGTCCAGCTCCAGACGTCTTCATGGTTACCTGTGGCTGGTTACGCTGTCTGCACGTGGCCCCTCCTCTGCCTTTCATTCCGTGGCAGAGGCAGGAGGGTAGATCAGAACAGGGGACGCACACCAGCGCTCACGGAGGGTGTTCCGGGGGCCACGCCCAGCGTGGGCCTGAGCTAGTGCACGTCATTTAGCCAGTGGAAAACACAGCAAACGAAGGCAGCTTTCCCCTCCCATTTTAAGGGTGAGGAAATGAACCCAGCACGGGTTGAGAACTTGTCCAGACTCCAGCATGCCAAGTGGCAGGGCAGGATTTGAACGTAAGGACCCCCCTTCCTGGTACACAGTGGCCCCTTCAAATCGCCTGGAATTTCACTCGCTCCTCCAGACTAAAGCCTTCCCCCTTCTGCCCTAAAAGGACAGCCGTCCTCAGGCCTCCCTCTTTGCCGCCGTGTATCTGTGGATTGGCGCACAGGTGCTTATGAAGAAATTAAATTGTACCCTGAGATGAGCAGCGTTCACTTGATTTTCATCCCACTGTCAATTTCAGCAGCCGGCCACGAGTTACAATATTACGTCCCTAAGTTGCTTCATCTGTGCCCAGCACAGAGACACTGACATCACACGCTGATTTTCATTTTTCCTCATCCCCTGAGCATTGATTGAAACCTAGCTAAGCCATGCTGGCTTTAGGAGCCAAATCTGGAGTGTTTGGAGGTCTGCAGATTCAGATCTCCGCTGCGGGGCGGCCGGTCCTGTGTGTGCCTCGGCCCCATGCAGGCGCGATTGAACCCAAAGGCACTTTCATGACCGAGGGCTGGCAGAGGGGCCGTGATCTCATGAAAGCTAAACTCTTCATCCCCACCACTCTGTGTTTCAGAACAAGAAGAAAACTTTGAGTTTATCATTGTGTCCCTTACTGGCCAGACGTGGCACTTTGAAGCCACCACCTACGAGGAGCGAGACGCGTGGGTCCAGGCCATCGAGAGTCAGATCCTCGCCAGCTTACAGTCGTGCGAGAGCAGCAAGAATAAGGTAAGACCCGGAGCAGCCTGCCGCGCCCCCCCAAGGCCCCACCACCAAAATCAAGAGCGGCTGATCCTGAAACGGAAATGGGTGGGGGAGGGGAGAGCATCGGGTGAGACCCTTAAATGTTTCTGAGCAGAAAGCAAAATAATTGCAAAGATAAAAAAAAAAAAAAAACCGTGTCGATATGTGTCCTGTATCATAGATTAGTAGCCTAGCTTAACCACGTTCAGATGGCAGAATATCCCATTTTAAATCTTTGCTCTCTCGACTCATCCCAAATGTAAAGTATTGACCTTTTATTGGAGATCATAGAATCTTTTGGACCCTTGTGGCTTCTTTGTTCACACTGATTTTTGCTTTAGGCTGAATACCCTCAGGAAAAGAAGTGCAGACTTACGAGGAGGCACCCGTTCCATTCTCATAAACGTCTCAAATTCAAATCCACGTCAAGTTAGAAAACTGACCCTTAGTACAGGCTTCGATGAAAAGTGCATGCACATATATGAGCATGCAAAGAGCTTAGGGAAGATTAAAATGTCCATTTTCTAAATTCTGTTGATAAAGCCTGGTATGGGGTTTATTCAATTAGAGTTAATTCTTTTGCATTTGTTTAGCCAGGAAAAGCAGACTTTAACCTGCATCTTCTGAATTACTGCCCAATGATATTCCTTATACAAAGGTCATTTTTCTCATTTCCCTTTTCCCATCAGAGATTCCTTCAAAAATCATTATTTTAATGCTTGGATATTTTTAACCCCTTCTCTGGGACACTTTAAAGTCTTGGAGAGCATTTTGATTTTTCAAACTGTGAACAACTAGAAACCAGGAGAAAGGACATTGCCTTCCAACCTGCAATTTCATTTGTAACCATTTAAAGAAATTTCTGCCAATGATTTATGTTCAGCTTTGTCATTAAGAAGGGAGTCTGTCTTTCAAAAAGATGGAGTGTCTTATTTTATTACCCTCTTTAACCAGGGTAAACCAGACCACAGTCATTATTATTATAATGTAATTTGCCTCTCTTTTTTAAAGATGTTTTATACCCACAGTGAGGAGAATCAGGGCCTTTCATTTCTGAGCACCTTGGCTTTATTGAGTCACGGCTGCAGATGTGACTTCTGAAAGAGCAAACTCAGGATGCTTCCGCATCTCCTGTCCATGGGGACTGAGGACACCTGTCACCCACAAAGCTCAGGAACTCGGTTTCAGAACAGGCGTTGGGAGGGCATGTGTGGCTGAACAGACAAACGCATCTCCAAATTTTGCGTAAAATCACAGTATCTCAAGTCAGACCCTGAATGTATGCCAGGTCATCGGATTCAGGAAGGTGGGGGACGGCACTGGCCTTTTCTGTTTCACACCCTTGCCAGATGCCTCCCAGCTCTCTGTGAAAACAGACAGCGTCACCTCGGCCTGATGCAAACACCAGCCTTAAAATGCTGCCTCTCTCCTCTCGATAGATGTGTGCCATCAAAGGCCAGAGTTCTCTGTGAGAGAAGGACTCACTGAGCACTTTGGGCGCTTGGTGAACAGGTGTGACGGTGTACAGCATGGAAATAATATCCACAAGGAATAGCTGGAGGGGAAAATACAGCCTCAGCTGAGAATGGGCTGTAAGGTGTTCTAGCTCTCCGTGGATGATTCAGAATTGGGAGCAATAGTAGATATACATACATATGCCCTAGAGATTATGGAGGTAGACAGAGGCAGACAGACACATCTCTGTATGTGCACACGCACACTCCAGATGCCAATAGAAATTGTTAAACACACTTTGAATACTTGGGCATCTGACCACAGGGAATAAAACCCCAATGATGCATTATGCTAATCAGACAGTAGCAATTAATAAATTATAGTTTATGATTAAGTAGTAAGCAATTGTTTCACAGCAAACCGTTTGACATAAGATGGTTCCATTTGTGAATAATTTTTACACAAAAATCAAGCTTATTCTAAGAGCCCTCTGGGATTTATTTGGCTTTAGCCATTATATTAAATGTATGCATCATAAGCCTTAAAACCATGTACATCCTTTTACCTGGTACTCCTATTTTGAAGAACTCATCCTTAGTCAATAATCACAAATTTGTGCAAAGAGTTAGCAATAAGCATATTCACAGCACTGTTGATAGCAGACAAAAATTGGAAACAGTCTAAATGTCCACCAAAGAAAACTTTGTAACTAAGTCATCATTAGTGGAATATTATGCAGCCATTTAAAATGATGCCAGAGTTGCTCTGACCCTTTTCCTAAGGAGTCTTGGTGCTGAAAGACTGAAAAATCAGTAACATAGGTAATAGCTACCTTCCAAAATCAAACTTAAACATATAGAAAAACAAAACTTCTGAATATCCGTCACATCAGAAATAAATAAAATTAAATAAAATCGTGCCAGGGACTATGTGATGGCATTGAGAGGTGACACTATGTCATTAGGCTGAAAAGGCAGATTCCAAAGCAACATACACCGCGCTGGCTTTTTTTTTTTTAAGCCCATCTATCTGTATACATGTGCTTTTTTAAAAAAGGCCAGAAGAATAGATATCACAATGTTAATAAAACTTAACCGTATGATAGTTTATAATTTTTATGTTCCTCTTTTCCCCTCTCTGTGTTTTTCTAACTTGCTTAGAGAAGACAAGTAAGTGTACGTTGAAGCATAAACACCCCCAGCCACACACACGTGTGGTCTCCTGACGAGGAGTCACGAGATGTGTCTTAGGGCATGAGTCTCTCATCTGACGCATCTTAACAGGTAGTGCCGATCCGTTCTCCATCCACTAGGCTCCATCCTAAAGACGTCTAAAGAGGAGTCCCTTGTTGAAATTGCCCTCGTGTTATATTCGCTTACCATCTGTTTGGTGTTTCCCAGGCTTTATCAGCAGGTATATACCTTTTTCTCGGAGTTCTCATATCTTGCGTTTGTATGTCTCCCTGTATGCCAGTCCCGACTGACCAGCCAGAGTGAGGCCATGGCCTTGCAGTCGATACGGAACATCCGAGGGAACTCCCACTGTGTGGACTGCGAGACCCAAAGTAAGTGGGGCTTGGCCCTCGGCAGAGGGAGATGGGGTGGTCTGACCCAGCATGCATTGCAGCAAACCCACATCTGTCATCCGGCATGTAAGGTTTATAACATGATTTAATGGCTTTTAAGGAACTGAAATATTTTTGTTTGGACTTTATTTTAACACAGTGCCCTTCACACAAATGCCTCTCTGATGGCACTGTAGCTCTTTGTTGTCGGTTTGTTTGTTTGATTTTTTTTTTTAATTTTTTTAAAGTGTAGTTGATTTACAATGTTGTGTTAATTTCTGCTGTACAGAAAAGTGATTCAGCTAAAAATAGACCCGCGTATATCCTTCTGCGTATTCTTTTCCATTCTGGTTCTTCACAAGTCTTGCTTATGCCTCAGGCATCCCCATGAGCCACAGTCACACCACAGATGCTATAGGGATTAGGCCACCTGCCCAGATTCTGTGCCACATCCAGAAACCAACCTTTGGCTTAATCGACGATCATATGTTTGTTTGCTTTTTCCATAAAAATAGAGTACAGTTGGTTAAATCCTGCCCAGAGATTTCTGGGGTTTGTTTTCTTTATTTCAAAATCATATGTTCTAGATTTTGCTATCAAATGGTATCTTTTTATTTTATCTTGAATTCACTACACACTAAAAGCATTTGATTGAACTGACAGACTTCATAATTATGCTTTGTGCCTTGGAGCAACCCAGTTTTCCTCCATGCTTTCCGTTGTCCAGGGAATAATGCCACGTTCCCTTTGAGAAAGTCCTTTTGTAGTTCATATCCTTGAAGTTAGGGACTGACTTCTCATTCTTCACCTTCCAGCCCTGGCACAGTGCTGGGCCCATTCAGTAAAGTTTTCCCAATCATATATTTTTGCTGTTGTTAGAGTCCAGCTGAAACAAAATAAAAGGTGCCAGCACCAGGCTAGGGTGTAAGGTGGCCCTGGCATCCCGAGCCTGAAGCCCAGTGGGCGAGGCCTGGACCCAGTGGCCACAAATCCCGGGACCATGGAGAAAGGCCGTTAGGGGCACACAGCAACTCAGAGCAGACCTTGTGCAGGAAATGGGCAGGATTAGAGCAGGTGGGGAGGGAGTCATTGTGAGTCAGGGAAGCAGCAGGACGCACAGCTGAACGGCTCTGGTTTGTTCAGGAAAAGAGCAGCTGCTGCTCAGGTAGGAAGCTGGCCAGGTAGGAGTTGTGTGACCTAACAGGAAGAACTCAGGATTGTCACAGATAAAAGGGGAGAGCCACCTGGGAGAGACCACTGGTTGGCAGGTCAGGTAAGTGCAGGACAGCGCAAGGCCACGTCTGCGGCCTCCAGGTGAAAGAAGGGGTCTCCTCTTCAGCTATCTTGAGGGACTTCTTTTTTTTTAGTTTTTTTTTTAAATTTATTTATTTATTGTTGGTTGCGTTGGGTCTTCGTTGCTGCGCACGGGCTTTCTCTGTTTGCGGCGAGCGGGGGCTACTCTTCGTTGCCGTGCACGGGCTTCTCATTGTGGTGGCTTCTCTTGTTGCGGAGCACGGGCTCTAGGCGCATGGGCTTCAGTAGTTGTGGCTCTTGGGCTCTAGAGTGCAGGCTCAGTAGTTGTGGCTCGCGGGCTTAGTTGCTCCACGGCACGTGGGATCTTCCCAGACCAGGGATGGAACCTGTGTCCCCTGCATTGGCAGGCGGATTCTTAACCATTACGCCACCAGGGAAGCTCTTGAAGGAGTTTAAAGCATCTTCTTTTGTTTGAATTTTTAAATGTTACTTTCAGTATGTGTCATGACATGAAGTTAGAAGAGAGAAGTCGTTATTTGAAGTGTGTTTTTATCGGGAAGTTTCAAAGTAACATCTTTAAAAGCACAAAATCGGAGACATATCAGACCCTCCATTAGGAGAAACGTCTGCAGTGGTTTCCACCGTCATCTACCGGATTGTTTTAACGGGAAGATTCCGTGGCTCCTGAGCTTTGTGGTGTGTGGCCAGTTGGAGGTCGAGAGAACATTCTGAGAGCCAGGTTGGGCGGGCGAGTGCCCAGGTGGGGAGGGCAGGTGGAAGAGGGAGGTTGGGAGAGGCTCCGGGGCCAGTTTGTTTAGAGTGAGGCCACCTGAGTAGGAATCCAGGGACAAAGTGTGACAAATCTGGAGAGAAAAGAGGTCTTAGACTCCCATTCCTTAAACACATTATCAGTCAGGTCTGTGCCCAGTCCCACCATGCACTGTCTCTTTCCATTCTTGTGACTGTGATAGTTGTTACTACAGTGTGTCCCGCTTATAGGGTGACATGAAGAATCTGAAGGGTCAAGTTATATACCCCAGGCCATCATAAGAGCCAGCTGTGTAGCAGGAGTCAAATCAAGCCTTTGGCTGCCCTGCTGTATTTTCTCAGAGGACAAGGGGAAGGTCGAGGGGCTGAGGTCAAGGACATGAGAGATGACACATTAGCAAAGGTGTTTTGTTTTTTATGTGTTATTATTATTATTAGGGGCATCTGTTTCCTCTTCCCAAGCAGACGGTCTCTGAGGTCACAGACCCCTGTTCTTCTGTGCCCCCCACCATGGTCTCTATCACCACCTTCCTGCCTTTGTATTAGATATTAAGTAAATGACTGGCTGATTTCTGCTGAATGAGCATAAGGCCACTCCTGGTCATTTGCCATTTCCAGAGTGATTCCAAATAAATATGATGTCAGCTACCTGGTTTTTTGTTGACTCTTCAAGTGCACCTGGGGTAAATATTGATTACTCTTGGATGATGTAAGCCTTATTTGCTTCTGTCGGTGGTGAAAGCCATTGACTGTCAAGGTCAGCCCCGTCTTTGCAAATCAGCTGGTGATTCTAGCATGAAGCCAGCCCTGGGTCCAAATCCTCAGTCTTCTGACTGTGTCAGCCAGTTTCACACAGGGACTGATCCCACTCAGGGGTCCCAGTGCTGTTCTCTGGACTCATTCAGTGCCCTTGGTGCAGTGTCACAGCCCAAAGCCCATCACCATTTATTCCGAGAATCAGGGTCGATCATCCTGGGTAGTAACCTAACCAAAGGACCATGTCCGCCATCTTGCCAGCAGTGAAGGATGGAGAAACGGGAGTTGCTTTGGTGGTTGCCCTTAGATAAGATCCCTGAAAAGCATACTTTTTCATTGTGGTGTGCCTTTCTTTCATCTTTGAAATTTGCAAATGTGCGCATCATTCACTGAAAACTTTGATGTGCCCGTGGTTGCAGAGGTGGTCACGTGGGACCTGGTAGCTTTGGGAATGACCCAGCTGTCCCTCAGCACACCTTCTCTTTCCCACTGTCCGCTGCCATCCACAGTAGGCGGCAAGTCATGCCTGATTTTGTTTTCATGTGTGTCTGCCTGCTCAAGGGGAGTGCCGCTGCGGAATTATCCAAAAGTGCGTCTTTCTATCCAAACCAATGCTTCCAGTTGTTTGCAAGGCTTTGGTTAAAGCCAGCTGTTTGAAAGTTGCCGCCAACATGTCAGATCTTTTGAGACGCCTGAGACAGTTCCAAGTACCGGCCAGGGAGCATTTTCAAGCCTTGTGATTCTAGGGAGGGACTGTTGCATGGGAAGTCTGATTAGCCATTTTGTTCCTGAGACCTAAGGACAGTTGGGATGAGTGATGACGGTCTGATTGCATATGGCACCCTTTTCCTCTTCCCGGGCGTGGGAAGCATGTGCTTACGGGGCGCCCTGCGGGCAGTTCAACAACCAGCAATGACCTTAACGACAGCCACCACTGGAACTGCCCCAGCAACCAGTGGGAAGCTGCTTACCCCGGACAGAAACATCTGTATTAAAAATTGCTCTTCCGCAGACACGGGTAATTCAAACGCCTTAATCTTACGGGGCGCCCTGCGGGCAGTTCAACAACCAGCAATGACCTTAACGACAGCCACCACTGGAACTGCCCCAGCAACCAGTGGGAAGCTGCTTACCCCGGACAGAAACATCTGTATTAAAAATTGCTCTTCCGCAGACACGGGTAATTCAAACGCCTTAATCTTTTACGCTTGTTTTTACACTTTGGGGATTCCTCTCCCTCTCTTAGAAACGTATTAAGCTTCTAACCTTATGAATCTATCACTTTAATTAATACACTTCTAATAGGCGTAAGCTAGGCTGTTAACACTAATTATGAACTTTGGATTCTTTAATTTTGTTATTCTTATGTCTTTGATAAGCATCTACTCCATTGGTTCCCCTCTCCCCCCAACTCCCACTAAGTGAGTTTACAGTAACCAGATATATTTTATTTTCTGAAATATACTTCTAACCCATTTAATCAACCAAGTATGGCGTAACTTACGGTGGCTCCTCATTAATGTTAATTGTTACCCAGTGTAAAAAACGCATTTATTTTGAGTCCATTTCGTTTCTCATTTTTCATTTACAGCAATTATAAGCCATTTTTTAGTACACATGCATATTTAATGTACCTAAGAGGTGGTAAAATGGCGCGTTTTCTGAGAAAGCCTCTTTCACAGAGGCAGGATGGACCGTCCTGTCTCCACGGCTGTTCGGGGAGCTGGGGGGCATCCCAGCATCTGAAGCAGGGGCACAGGATGGGCTCAGCCTTCACTTCTCAGGTGTGTGCAGAGGTGAAGGGGGAGAAGAGGTCTCCCAGCATCAGCACGGGTCTGCTTTGCTGGTGATCAGACAACAAGGAAACCCAGGTGTCCGTCTGTGGTCGGGCCACATGCGAGGGGTAAGAAGTTGGTTTCTACCGCCAATAACGTGGAAAACCGGTGGGCTTCGTTTCATCAACACTAAAAAATGAATTTGTGGTGCCCCCTTCGGTTCACTTGAGAGAATGAAGCTGGTGTCATTAACCCTGCCCTTCCTATTAGGTGCTCTGTGGGGAGGGGACGGGGGTGGGCAAGAAATGCGCACAAAGTACATCTGTTTAAAATCGAGCCGGTTGGCGCCATGAGCTCTTTATATATAAGTTATGCCGTGTAATATACACGTGGGCAGCTGTCTTACAGACTGAAGAAGTGATACATTTCTACAGTTTTTTAATTTTG